ATTTATTATTACTCAATAAATTCTGACATGGAAAGTTATCTGTTTCTGACATAGCACACTCATAAGATCATTCATTAATCCTTTATATTAGGCAGAGAAATGCATTGCCATTGTTCTTACTACAAACTATCTTGGCCATTCTTGTCATTTTGTTCTAATATATGCTGGCCTTGTGTTTCAGAGGCATGCTCCAAGGTCTTCTCTACTTAGAGCTAAAAAGCAAGTCTAAACCCTTGGGTGTGTTCTCTGACTTGAGCCCTTAGAATCCCTTACCAGGTCCTTTCCTCCAGAGGAATACTGTACCCTACCCATATATGGTAGGGATTGAGATGACACTAATGATGGAGTCACCAAAATCAAAACTGCATTTTTCATGTCACCTCCTATCCCAAATCCCCTACTCCAAAGGCAGTTTTATTAAAGTATGTTCAATGTTCCCACCACAAATTTGGTCTAGTCAAATAATGGAATGTTTGTCTTGCCAGAAGAAAAGAGTAAAGGAATGGACAAATAGAAGAAAAGAAATATTTTTAAGTGTGGAAAGGATTCATGCTGCTAATTTTTTTATTAAAAACATGTTCCAGATGGATCAACTGGTGGCCAGCATGTAGAAGAATGCAAATCCATCCATTCTTATCTCGTTGTACAAAGCTCAAGTCTAAGTGAATCAAGGACCTCCACATAAAACCAGATACACTGAAACTAATAGAAGAGAAAGGGGGGAAACCCTCAAACACATGGGCACGGGAAAAGTTCCTGAACAGAACATAAATAGCTTATGCTCTGAGATCAACAGTAAACAAACAAGACCTCATAAAATTGTAAAGCTTCTGTAAGGCAAAGGATACTGTCAATAGGACAAAATGGCAACCAACAGATTGGGAAAAGATCTTTACCAATCTCATATCCAATAGAGGGCTCAATATCCAATATATACAAAGAACTCAAGAAGTTAAGCTCAAGAGAATCAAATAACCCTATTAAAAATGGGGTACAGAGCTAAACAAAGAATTTTCAACTGAGGAAACTCGAATGGCCAAGAAACACCTAAAGAAATGTTCAACATCCTTAGTCATCAGGAAAACAAAAACCAAAACAACCCTGAGATTCCACCTCACACCAGTCAGAATGACTAAGATCAAAACTCAGGTGACAGCAGATGCTGATGCTGATGTGGAGAAAGAGGAACACTCCTCCATTGCTGGTGAGACTGCAAGCTAGCACAACCACTCTGGAAATCAGTCTGGCGCTTCCTCAGAAAATTGGACATAGTGCTACCTGAGGACCCAGCTATACCTCTCCTGGGAATATACCCAGAAGATGCTCCAACATCTAACAAGGACATATGCTCCATTATATTCATTGCAGCCTTATTTATAATAGCCAGAAGCTGGAAAGAACCCAGATATCGTTCAAGAAAGTAATGGATACAGAAAATGTGGTACATTTGCACAATGGAGGAAAATTAAAATTTACTCAGCTATTGAAAACGATGACTTTTTGAAATTCTTAGGCAAATGAATGGAACTAGAAAATATCATCCAGAATGAGATAACCCAATCACAAAAGAACACACATGGTATGCACTCACTGATAAGTGGATATTAGCCCCAAAAGCTCAGAACACCCAAGATACAATTCACAGACCACATACAGCTCAAGAAGTAAGACCAAAGTGTGGATGCATCAGTCCTTCTTCGAAGGAGGAACAAAATGCTCACAAGAAGAAATATGGAGACAAAGTGTGCAGCTGAGACTGAAGGAAAGGCCATCCAGAGACTGTCCCTCTTGGGGATCCATCCCACATACAGTCATCAAACCCAGACACTATTGGGGGTGTCAAGAAGTATTTGCTGACAGGTGTCTGATATAGCTGTCTCCTGAGAGTCTTTGCCAGAGCCTGACAAATACAGGGGTGCATGCTCACAGCCAACCATTGGACTAAGCGTGGGGCTCCCAATGGAGTAGTTAGAGAAAGGACTGAAGGAGCTGAAGGGGTTTGTAATCCCATAAGAAGAACAACAATATTAACCAACCAGACTCCCCAGAGCTTCCAGGGACTAAACCACCAACCAAAGAATACACATGGAGGGACATCTGTCTCTGCCTCCTGAGATTAAATTTAGATTTAATCCTGAGATTTAAGTCATGGCCTACCACCACCCAGCTAATTTTTAATTTTTAACATAGTAAGAACACAATTGCTTAAAGTCTTCTATTTAAAATATATTAAATATGTACATTCATAGATTTGCCCTACCCAGTGGTTCACAGAGAACACTGCAGTTTTTGCAAAAAGTAATTGCTAGTGAACAATAGCTTTTTAAACACTGCCCCCTACTGTTCACAGTAAGCTTCCTCAGAAATGATAAGACACAGAAATAAAAAATAATCAAGCCCTTCCACTTTTGAAATCAATTTAGCATTTTTGTTCAGCACACTAGATTTCACAGACTAGGGCAGTTTCAACTACACAACTGTGGGTTTCAAAAAGTAAATCCCAGACATTCGAACATTACTCTCATCAGTAATACAGCCCACCCAAAGAGAGCAGGATCGGACTGACAGTACAGTAACAACACTGGGAAACATCAGGAAAGACAAGAATCTCTATGGTGACATGTGCAACCTTAGACTATTATAGTCAGTTTTGCTTTTTAAAATTTTAAAAAAAAGTGCGTGTCAGCACTTCTGGTGGCCAGTTTTCAGCCAACATGACACAAGCTAAGTCATATGGGAAGTGGGAACCCCAGTTGAGAAAATATCCTCCTCACCAGATTGGCCTCTGGGCAAGCCTCTGGTGCATTTTCTTGATGACTGAGGTGGGAGGGCCTATCTGGATGATGGACTACAAGATCTAAGACGAAATAAACCCTTTACTCTCCAGAATGTTCGTGGTGTTTCATTACAGCAATCAAACGCCTATGGGAGCACTTCAGAATAACTGTGGGAGCACTTCAGAATGACTGTCTGAATGAAGTATGGAAGGTGATGAATCTCTTAATACTGCATCAAGAAACCTAAGTGATTTATCACAGAGTCACTTACAAAACAACAGGTTTCATGATGTAATTTTCATATATTTATAAATTATGATCATATTTACTCATAGTACAATTTGTACTACCCCTTCCTGATGATACCTCTCTTCTTTCCAAACAGCCTCTCTTCTGCCTTCATACTGTTGTTAAAACTCTAGATCACTCACATGAGAGAAAACATGCAATATTTCTTTCTGAGTCTTATTTTGTTTAACATAATGATCTGTACTGTCATCCATTTTCCTCTGACATGATTTCTTTCTTCTTTATAGCTAATTAAAATTTAATTGTGCCTCTACACTACCTTTTCTTTCTCTGTTCATGTGTAATCTGTTCATAGTCAACCTGTGCTGATTTCAGAGCCCTGCTATCGTGACTAGCCCAGTAATAAGCACTATGAGATATCTCTAACTTACGCTGACTTTGATCCATTTTGGCATATACCCAGGAGTGGTATAGCTCTATCATGTTATTCCTAATTTAAATTTTTTCAGATACCATCTTCAGTGATTTCCATAGTAGCCACAAAAATTCATATTCTCACCAAAAGTATCTAAGAGTTGCCCTTGCCCCCTCATCCCCACCAAATGTCTTGCTGCTTGTTTTCTTTTTCTTTTTTTTATTGGATATTTTATTTACATTTCAGATGTTATCCTCTTACCCCATTCCCCCCACCCTGCCCACAAATCCCCTATTCCATTCCCCCTCCTCCTGCTTCTATGAGGATATTCCCCCACCTACACCCCCACTCCCATCTCCCCACCCTTGAATTCCCCCACACTGGACGTCCAGCCTTCATGGGACCAAGGATCTCCTCTCCCACCTATGCCCGACAGGGCCATCCTCACCTACATATACAGCTGGAGCCATGGGTCCCTCCCTCCCTAAGTGCTCCTGGGCTGGTGGTTTAGACCCTGGGAGCTCTGGTTGGTTGGTATTATTGCTCTCCTCATTGGGCCGCAAACACTTTCAGCTCCTTCAGTCTTCTCTCTAACTCCTACATTGGGAACCCCTTGATCAGTTCAATCGTTAACTGTGAGCATCCGCCTCTGAATATGTCAGGCTCTGGAAGACCTCTAAGGACACAGCTATATCAGGCTCCTATCAGCATGCACTTCCTGATATTCACATCAGCGTCTACCTTTGGTGACTGCACATGGGATGGATACTCAGGTGGAATGGTCTCCAGATGGCACCTTCTTCAGTTTCTGTCCCATGCTTTGTCTCCATATTTGCTCCCTTGAGTATTTTGTTACTCTTTCTAAGAATAATAGCCGTTCTTACTGAGGGACTCAGAATCTCAATGTAAGTTTGATTTTCTTTTTTTTTTTTTTTGTGGTGGTTAGGAATATTTAACATTTTTAATGTAAGAAACTTGGATTTTAAAGCTATTTACTATTAAATAGTTGTATAACCTCATGTCCCTCAGCCATTCAGGACACTGTACAGATATTATTCTAAAGATTGTCAGGTGGTGGTGATGAAGAAAAATATAGAATGATGAGAGAGTTGTGTTTTCCTCCATGCTGCCTATCCCCAGTCCTCTTGAGTCCCCCTCTCCCTACCTCTAAAACCATGGTATCCACACAGTTTCCTTTTAGCTGACAAATATGAGGTCAGATGGTTTTTCTCTACAGCCTTTTCTTCACTAAATCACACAGCTTGAAGCCATTATGGTGGCACACACTTGTAAGCCTAGCACTCAGGAAATGGGGACAAGTGGGTCAGGAATTCAAGATCATCTTCAGCTACACCATAGAAGCTTCAAGGCCAGCATGGACTATGTGAAACTCTGGGTCAAAAAACAAACTACAGAATTTGAGAAGGATTCCACATAATAACTGAAGAAAACACTTTGATCCTACCTATAGTTAGATATAAATGTGAATTTCCCCATTCAAGAAAGAAGTACAAATATCCAATAAAGCTATGAAAATGTTCAATTTAGGTCAAAGGTCCTTAATAGATCCATTGAGCAGTCTCTGAGGCGTGGAAAGAAGTGATGGGTTTCCTACTGAAGGGCGGTGTGGGGTTGAAGTACCTGTGATGGAGCAGTAGATATGATGTGAGGAGGAAGGGCGGTGTGGGATGAAGTACCTGTGATGGAGCAGTAGATATGATATGAGGAGGAAGGGCGGTGTGGGGATGAAGTACCTGTGATGGAGCAGTAGATATGATAT